GCAGCAGCCTGGGGGGGGGCGCGCTTGGGTGAGTGTCAGGGAGGGCCCCCCCCCCAAAGCTTGCTGCTGCTGGCAGAGAGGGGGTTGGGGAGGTGGGGGGAAAGTCCTCTCTGGCCCCCAGCCCCGGGGCAGCCTGCCTGCTGCACCCCAAATGCCTCATCCCTGGCCCAGCCCCATGCCCTGCACCCCCTCCCGTACCACACCCTCTGTCCCAGCCCAGAGCTCGCACCCAAACCCCACACCCCCTCCTACACTCCAACCCCCTGCCGCAACCCAGAGCCTACACCCAGCACCCAAACTCCATCTCAGAGCCCGCCCCCCTCCCACACCCAAACTTCCTCCCAGAGCCTGCACCCCAAGTCCCATCCCGCACCCAAACTCCCTCCCAGATCCTTAGGTGGGAGTGGGGGAGGACATTCTGGGCACCACCAAAAATTCTACAAACCTGCCGCCCCTGATGCCAGGGTTGGGAGGGGCCTTCTGATGACTTTACAGCAGCCAAGAGATCAACCCACTCCATCCTCCTTGGCCAGGGTATTATCAATCAGCCAGCTACAGCCAGATTTCAGCTCCTTTGTACAGCCTGAGGCGCACAACATGGCCAGATAGACATTAGGCCAAATTTTCTACTCTTATCTGGTTTACACATTAAACAAGAGTGAAGTGTTTAGATTTGCATCCTCGTTTTTACCAACCTTTGGGGGCCCAAACTTGCTACAGGAGCTAGATGTTAATCAATTAAATGTTCATTTTTTTTTTTTTTAAGAAGGTGGTACAAGAACCAATGAAGTTGGGAACCACTGAACTAGGCAATAGCTTTCTCTCTTTACAATAATATTCTCTTTCTGTCCTGCACTGCTGTGTAGTATTGCTATGTGTTGTTTAGAGTCTTCCAATCTCCATCCCAGACATAACTACATTTCAATAATGGATTAAATGAACCCTTTATATAAAGTCTGGTGAGCCCTTTGGGATTTTTAGAAGGAAGAGGTAGATAATGTGGGAACACCACCACATAACGACAAGTAAAGCCAACATATTGACAGCCTCCTGCCAATTCTACATATGCAGAAGGCACATATCATAACATAGCAAAATAAATTCACACTCAAAGGCCATCTCATTAGCCCTCTCAAAGCAGAGCCATAAAACAGTTTTTCAGAGGCATCAGTCCAAAGTCACAATGGCTACTACTTTTCCTTTTTTCCCCAATAGATAGAATAGGAAACGAAAAGAAAAAGAAAAATTGTTCCAGGGATCCCAATGAGAAGTTCTATCAACGTTCTGACTCATGTTTTCTGTATATTTCAAAATTATGTCTCTGCAAAAAGTGGTTTCAAAAGCCAACGTTTTCCCACCCCAAGTCCAGTGAGGGGTGAGTGGAGGTAAAGCAGAGATTTGATAGTGGTTAGATTGAGTTATATTAGGGTAGAGGAGGCAACTAGTTTGGAGGGTCCTAGCTAGGAAGCCTGTACAAGTGTCTCATTTTATTTTTAAATGAATTTACAGCACATACTTCAACAGATAAAAGTTCTTTAAACTATTTATTTAGTTACCTGCTTATAAGGATAACCCTTCCCATTTTAAATGCAAATGTTATTGACAATATTGCATACCAAACAGCAGCATCATTATAGAAGTCAATACTATCCCCTCCACTCCGAATACCCCCTATAAAGGTCTAGTGTGACGTTATTGACATAATCTGTAACTAGTATAGATGACTGTTGCAACCACTGTTATATATTTGCAGCAAATATTGTATAAAGGTTGTCAGGTAAGGGGTCTACGGAGAGGTTATGGTTTGCTGGTTATGATATGCTGTCTATATGTGTGTATCATTTCTGTAGTTGAACTTATGAATATTGGTTCTATACTGTCTGTATTTCAAACTTATGCTATGCTTCTGGGTGACACCCCAGACAAGTTGGTGTCAGCTCTGCCTAGCCTGCTTGATGGCCCATTAAAGACCATCAGCTATACAACTGACCCATTGAGAGAAGGCAGACACACATTGTGACTCAACAAGGTATGCAGGGACATGCCTATGGACAGAACTCTGAGGTTTTTCCATGCCATGTGATTGACAGCTTGTCTTTGGGCCAAAGAAAGCAGAGACCACATGGCAAGAGACTATAAAAAGCTGCTGCAGCTCCTCCATCTTGTCTTCAATCCTGCTTCTTACCTCTGAAGGGACTTTGCTACAAATGGAAGCTCTACACAAAGGACTGATGACCCATCCCAGCTGGGGATGTACTCCAGAGACTTGATTTGAACCTGAAAGCTTATTCCATCATTGCAATAAGCCTGAACCAAGAACTTTGGTTAAATGGAATCAATTACATACAGTAACGTCAATCATCTATATCTTTTTCCTTTTATGAATAAACCTTTAGACTCTAAAGGATTGGCAACAGCGTGATTTGTGGGCAAGATCTGATTTGTATATTGACCTGGGTCTGGGACTTGGTCCTTTGGGATCGGGAGAACCTTTTTTCTTTTACTGGGGCATTGGTTTTCATAACCATTTATCCCCATAACGAGTGGCACTGCTGGTGATACTGGGAAACTGGAGTGTCTAAGGGAATTGCTTGTGTGACTTGTGGTTAGCCAGTGGGGGAAAACCAAAGTCCTCTCTGCTTTGGTTTGCTTTACTTAAGAGGTGGAAAACTCCCAGCCTTGGGCTGTAACTGCCCTGCTTTAAGCAATTTGTCCTGAATTGGCACTCTCAATTGGGCCTCACCAAAACCAGCATTGTTACACCCCTCCACTCTGAATACCCCTTATAAAGGTCTCTAGAGAAAGGCAATCTAAATGACTAGAGATATGGAAATACTTTAGTACAAAGAGATGAAGAAGATAGTTTAGGATTACTAGGTTTAAGAATGAGGAAAGAGGTGACGTAGTAATTGAATAATAGTACAGAGAAGATTAATCAAGTGCTCTATTTACCCTCTCTCAAAACAGAAAAAGCAATGGACACCCACTGAAATGAAAATGCAAATATGAAGCAGATAAAAGGAATTTCCTCCCCATATGCCTGAAGATATTCCTAGACTGAGCTCATAGTTAGTCTGTGGATTTCAATATGAGACTCCATATCACAAAGTATTCTTAAGGCAAAGAGCATTTTCTATCAAAAAATCTTGAGTTACTTTACAAAGATTGTTATTATTACCCTAATATTACAGATGGGGGAAGTGTATGCACAGACAATTTATGTAATATATATTCATAGCATACATTTATGCTGCCTACACTACATACGGAGGTACACACACAAGGACATGCATGAGCACACAGGCAGGGTGAAGCATCTGTTGTATATACAAGATACAGTTCTTCCCAACAACAAAATACAGATCCCTTTCAAATGGTTTGCTTTTAGGGCAGATGTGTCAAAAATGAACAATCTTGCTGCCCATATAAAGAATTACATTTAGTCTAAACTGTTATTGAATCCTGTCATTTTCTTCTCAATGGAATGGATGTCTGTAGAGTTAAAAAATATATATATAAATACATATATATATAAATAAACATGAATACAGCGGTGGCACAAAGCCACTGGTAATATGACGGGTGCAGCTAGCCATTTGAACGGCAGTTTGGAACTTGTTACACACATTAGTCCACATGCCAGCCTCTTTCTCTGGTTTCTGATAATCCCTGTGAACATAAGAATGGCCGTACTTGGTCAGACCAAAGGTCCATCTAGCGCAGTATCCTGTCTACCAACAGTGGCCAATGCCAGGTGCCCCAGAGGGAGTGAACCTAATAGGTAATGATCAAGTGATCTCTCTCCTGCCAGCCATCTCCACCCTCTGACAAACAGAGGCTAGGGACACCATTCCTTACCCATCCTGGCTAATAGCCATTAATGGACTTAACCTCCATGAATTTATCCAGTTCTCTTTTAAACCCTGTTATAGTCCTAGCCTTGACAACCTCCTCAGGCAAGGAGTTCCATAAGTTGACTATGCGCTGTGTGAAGAACAACCTTTTATTTGTTTTAAACCTGCTGTCCATTAATTTCATTTGGTGGCCCCTAGTTCTTATATTATGGGAACAAGTAAATAACTTTTCCTTATTTACTTTCTCCACATCACTCATGATTTTATATACCTCTATCATATCCCCCCTTAGTCTCCTCTTTTCCAAGCTAAAACATCCTAGCCTCTTTAATCTCTCCTTATATGGGACCCATTCCAAACCCCTAATCATTTTAATTGCCCTTCTCTGAACCTTTTGTCAGAGATGACTTTACACACTACATGAACATCAACACTGCAGTGCTAAAGAGAGTTGGTTAAGGTGGTTGATAGAGTTGATAAGAGACCTATGACAGTGTGTTAGGAGGCCTGATGAAGAACCAGTGAGACCAGCCATCAACATACACTATCCTCAAAAGTAAATACAGAGAGAGAGAGCGCGCGCACATGGTGTGGCATTATACACCTGCATTAACCCGTGACAGGCACATGACACTAGTGCGGACACTTCAACTTAGCGGCTGGCGTTTTAGGGTCCCATTTTAGATGTTACTAATGAAGTCTCGCTGCAAGTGCCCCTGCGACACTACCGGTCTCACAGCCCCGTGATGTCTAACCTGCCAAGCGGCCGAGGCTGCTCCGCATCCCACTCCTGGAAGCTGCCCAAGCCCCGCGGCCAGCTGGAGCGCGCCTAGCTGAAGGAGTGAGGGCAGCGGGCTGGTGCCGCCCCGCTCAGCCTGACGCGCGGGGATAGCTGCGCCCACGCCAGGCTGGGGGATGCCCACACCTCTGTGCCGCGCACAGACGGCAAAGGCAAGAGGGGCCGCGACGGCAGCGCCCTGCACAGCGGGCAGAGGGGAGCCGGCCCGGACCCACCAGAGCTTCGCGGGGCTTGGCACGTCCCTCCCCCTAGCCTCGGTTCAGGTGCCCGCCCCGTACATCGCCCCCTGCCTCGCCCCACAGGCCGGCCCCGACCCAGCGCCGGGGGGCGGCACGCTGCCGGCCTACCTGAGCGTAGTAGCGTTTCCTGAGCCAGGCCCCCGGGAAGAACCGCCTCGCCATAGCAATGGCACATCCCCGCAGCGGGCTGCGCTCAGAGGCGGAGCGGAGGCAGCGCTTCCCCGCCCGGCCCCCTCCGCTCGCACCGCGGCGCCGGGAGAACGGGCTGGGGCGGGGGCCGCTGCGGCCCGCAGGGCAGGAGAAGCAGGTAGCGGCTCCGTTCTCGCTGCCCAGCTGCCACTCAGCGCTGACGGCGGCAACGGCAGCAACTGGCAGGGCAGCGCGGAGTCTTAAAGGGCGGCCGGCCAGTATCTCTGCCGACACACACCGCCCGCGCCGCCTCCTCAGCTTAAAGGGGAAGTTGGCCGCCCCAGCGCTGAGGGGCCGGATTGCTCCCCACTTCCGCCGCAACAGCCTAGTGCTGAGCACTGCCCAGTACGTGGGGCAGCGACTGCAATGGTGGGTGGGACACCCCCTCAGGCACGAGCTCAGATCCACGTCCCCCCGCCCCCCAAGACCCTGGTCCAATGCTGTGGCGCTAGGGTGCCCCTCTCCGTAGTTCTAGGCCTTTTGGGGAAAGTAGCACCCAGATCTGGAGTTAAGATGCTGGGCAGTGGGCAGCCTCCCAGAGTGGTTAATTTCCCCCTAATCTCTCCTTTCCCTTCCCTCCACCCACGTGGTCAGACAGCAGCAGCAGGTCTAGTCCCATCTAGTGCTGGTCAAATAAGGAAGGAAGTTATTACTAATGTATCAGATTGGTCAAAGATATTCACAAAATAATATCACAGTAGTACAGAGGCATTTGAATAATGAAAATCTTTATTGAATAGTTGATGGGGAAGCACTCAAATACATTATTCATGCTGATTATTCTACCAACTCTATTCCTAGCTGCCTCTCTATGGGATTTCTAATACATCTGTCCCAGTAGTACCTAGGCAGTCGTGTTCAAATTTTCTGCTGCACTGCAAACTGGGCCTTGGCCTCACCATCCATAAATTCTGAGTATCTTGCAGGCCAGCTCTGGCAACAGCTCTCTAGTGGGTCACCTCCCATATTCAGTATAACTACAGCACCCTCATGTAGGGTTACTAACTTGGTAATATTTAAAAACCAGACACTCTAGCAGAAGTGCTAGAACCTCCCCTGCCCCGCCTCTTCCCCCACACACCTCTGCCCTGCTCCCATCCACTCTTCTTCCCCCCTGCCCCAAGTTCCTCGCTGCTTTTCCCCCTCCCACCCGGCTCAGGAGGGACTTATCTGCGGAGCTGGGGCTGGGAGCTGCAGCCGCCTGATGAAGACAGGAGGCGGCTCAGGCTGAGTAGGGGCTGGAGTGGGTGATGACCTGGCACCTCCCCTGCTCGCCGTAACCAGACTTAGTATCCAGTCACATCTACTGACCAGACACTCGGTCAGGTCCCCTTTTCAACCAGACTTTCCGGTCAAAAAACCAGACATCTGGCCACCCTACGCTCATGGCCAAGATGGAGTCCGCTCTACAGGGCAGCTCTAGCCAAGAAAAGGCACATGCAGGAACACAGTAGAGAATCTCCCTTCCACCCCAGGAGCACCTGTTCCTAACCCCACTGACTAAATACATACGCACACTGAATTAGTACAATGAATACAGGCAAAGGAAATATTTATTGACAGTGGGATGAATGGAGGAAAACAGAGGGAAGAGAGAGGGGGAGCAGTAAAGCAGAGTTACATACAACACAAGGACCCACGGGCCCAACATTACCCTCATATAAAAGGATAGACACTGAGCAATGCATCTAGATTCAGACCTCAGGAATCCTTGGCAGAGTTCTAGTCCAGCAGTGACTCTTGGGTGCTCCTGATTGTCTTTGGCACCAGTAAACTTTTCCCAACAAACCTTTCCAGTGCCCTCTTCTGCCATTCTCTGCACACCCACACAGTGCAACAACCTCACTTAACTAGCTACAACCTCCCTCCTTAGTTCCCAGTGCAAAGTCACAAGCCCCAGCACTCACAGACCAGTATAGTTCTGGGCGATGGCAATACTGGGTCTGGCTTCAGTTTGTCCTTCTCAGGTGATTCCTTCCTGGCACAGCGCTCTTCCTGCCTCCCATCCTGGGATGTTCCTGGCTGGCACTCTGTCCTTCCTGGCATTTTGGCTGGTTCTCGGCTGCTTTGCTATGTAAAGGCCACACTCACACCTATCACTCTTCCTCGCTCTCTCAACCCCCTCCCCACTGGAACAACCAGCACCTCCTCTGCTTTAAGATGAGGTTTTAAAGGGGACATGCTCTCTAAACCCCAAGGGGTTACCACTCTCCCCACTCCCCAAAAAAATAGTCTTTGCTGTTCCCAGCAAGGTGGGGATCCACAGCCTAGAATTGCCCAACAGGAGACTCAGAGCCCCCCATTGGTCAAGAGCATCCCCAGTGTCCAACCCACAGGCCCCCAGGGATTTCCCATGAAGCAACTCTCCCCCCACAGAACCCCAGAGATCTGTAGGTCACTAGGTTCCCCCAAACGATCATATGTCAGCAGATGCCTGAGCCTAAATCCCCTTGACAGTCTATGGGATTTGGATTCCTAAGAGCGTAAATCCCTTTTGAAAAATGAGACCTAGTCCCCTACATCAGTTAGACATTGCAGCACTGAGCACATCAAAGCCTAAATACCTTTAAAAATCTGGGGCTTTGAGATCTATGGAGGAAAAGCATTCTACATATATCAAGTATACAGGGCCAGTGTAACCACTAGTCGAACTAGGCGGCCACCTAGGGCACCAAGATTTAGGGGCGCCAAAAAGCAGTGCCCAAAAAATTTTTTTACACTATTGCTCCCGGCGGGGGGATGGGCCGCTCGCAGCCATGTTAGCACCTACCTCTGCAGGCGATCCTCTGCAATCGCGGGCCCCGCCGCCTCCCTCCACCGCGCCCCACATCACTGCCCGCCCATGCCCCCCCCCCTGCCAGCCCAGAGCCACCTCCTCCCCGAGCTGCCTCATCACTCCCTAGCCCGTTCCCTCCAGCTCTGGCAGTCCCACACTCCCTGCCACAGCAGCGGCTGCTGCCCAAGGGCTGCCGGCTGCAGATCGGAGCGGGTGACAGCCCCCCTGTAGCTGGCCCTATTGACAGCAATGCAGTGGCGGGGGGGGGGTGGAAGGAAGAGGAGACCGTGGCTACTGGTCCACCTGCAGGGGTGGATCATGGCCCTGCCAGAGGATACAGGGTTAAAGAGCTGCAAAAGTGTAACCATCCTCAGCATGCGCCACCTTCCAAGGCTTCATCCCCATCCATCCCTGCAGCCCTGTGGAGCTGATTAATAGACCCCCATTTTTGGGGAAACTGAGGCAAAGAACAGGGACTTGACTTGCCCAAGGTCACCCGGGGAGTCATTGTCGGAGTCCTGCTTTGAACACAGGAGATCGAGGCTCCTAGTTCTGCGCTGGCTCAGACCATTAGACCAGAGGCCTTCAAGCCCTGAGCTCTGCACCTGCCCACTCAAGGTATTAATCTGGGATTCAGGGGCAGCACACTACAAGTTTTCAGTGAAGAAACACAGCTGTCTCGAGCCCTTATGGCTACAAGGAAAATCTTCCAAAGGTAATGGGCGTCTAGCCGACACAGTTCTGTCTACCTGAGTCTGCAGCCAGCCTGGGACAACAGCTCTAGGAAATACAGCAGTAACTGTTAAGTCTAATTACGACACTGTCAGAGCCAGATTTTCATGTAACATGGGTGACCAGTTGCATGGTGCACAACCACTGCAAGTGTGTGAGCAACTCAGGTTAAGTGCAGCTGAACCCTGGGCAGGCTGCAGCACCCAAGAGACTTTTGTTCTCCCACTGAATGACAGCAGATGCACCAGTAACTTTACTAAGTAGAAGTTTAGTGACCACATTAGGACCATATCCTCCCCACTCCCAGCATTGGGTCAACTGCCCCTCATCATTCTCCTGATTGCTTGTTTTGTTATTGATGGGAAATCTGCTGTGGATTGAGGGGTGTATATGGACCTGCCTTTGCAGGCTCAGTCCTGGCCCAGCATTTGAAATAAATTGCCCTGAGTTTCAGAAGTACTGAGAACCCTGGAGTTCCCACAGACATCGGGTGAACCACAGGTGCTCAGCATCTCTGAAAATCAGGCCCAGAATGACACTGACTCCTCTCCCCTGGGCTAGAGCTCTCCGAGTAAGGAGCTTCAGCAGTGATTGGCATGGGGCAGAGTAAAGCAACCAGGATGGTCATGACGGAGGCTGGAACTCTGTCCTTGCCTCACACCTGTGGGGAAGACAGGCCTTCAGACACCGCCTCCTGCCTGCATTGCACTTTCCAGCCCAGGAGCAAGGAACCATTTCACACCTTAGCGCTGGGGGGAGCTGAAGCCCAGAACGGGGAAGTAACTTGCCTGAAGTTATCCAGTGAGTTGGTGCCAGGGTGGAGAATAGAAGCCAGATCCTGACTCCCAGCTCTGTGCTCTGATCCCCAAAACAGCTCTTTCCAGATCCATTGGGGGGGGGGGGAGAGGGCAGGAGGGACTCTAGCCATATGCAGGAGACCCAAGGCCATTTATTTTAATTAAATATGTAGACTAAATAATGAAATTAATACATTTTCAAGCCGAACATGTATTAATTCTAATGAACAATGCCACATTATGCAGTATTCATTTTTGAAAGTTTATAATAAGCGATGCTCCGGGGGCACGGAAGGAGTAGGGGGGGCGCAAGGTGAAAGTTTCTCCTAGGGCGCAAAATATCCTTGCACCAGCCCTGCAAGTATATATTATTATTACATTCCTTAAGGAAGGCTGTTCTGATTAAACTGAAGGTAAAGAAAAATACTATGCTGAGCTTCTAAGTAGTGGTTTTATGGCAGGACCTTCTTGTAAAGAAAGAAGTGAGTCTGGAAACCACATATGGTTGTGAAGCCACGAAGCTGTAGAGAATTGTGCAGAATTTAAAGTGTCTTGCATTTTAAGGCCCAGGGGTGCTGTGTGAACACTTCTGGAATAACACAATCACTGATGGACCTTCTCTGAAGTGAAGCCCTGCTAATTCATTAACA